CTTTCCCCCTATCATTCATACTCCCACTGGAACACAGGCATGACACCCTGTTTACTGCCTCCCCTTTGCACTTTTTCAAGATCTGTGATCTTATCTAAAACCTTTTTTCCATTAAGCGAGAGCCAACTCCGTTTCCATACACCTTCCAACCATGAGCAAAAGCAGCTTGTGTTTCGATTACGACAATGGTGGGAGTGACTGGATTGGCCTTGGTGGCCAGTGCTTCAATGGTCTTCTCCAGCAAACAGGTGCATCTTAAATGAAAGCACATCAACAGTTTACACAGCTCATGAAGACAGCAACAACATCAAGAACATCAACTGTTTTTGTCTCTCACAAATTCAGGTAAAAAAAAATAACCTGCATCCAAATGTTGCAAAAACAGACAAACAGAGTTAGCTATACAAACTGTGAAAAGCTTGGCCAATCAAATTACAGGACCTGTTGCATAACGCAAATGATAGTACTCAAATGTGTTGGGAAATTGGTACTTAATGTCAGTATTGATTCAGTAAATTTGCACTACTTTGCATTAAAAGGCTAATTAAATGAAAGACTGACATCTCCTAATTCCCCTTCCCTTTGCCATCATATGAATAAATGACATTTTAAAATTGTGATAACATTTCACAATATTACTGTTTTTGCTTTATTTTTGATCAAATAAATGCAGCCTCGGTGAGAATAAGAGACAAAAAACTGTTTACCAATCCCAAACTTTTGAACTGTAGTGTATTCTGTGGGTAACACATTTCAGAAACAGTGTTTTTCCACTTCTTCAGGTTCAGTGAAAATGTAAGAAGCAGAAAACTCCTTTCTTTCAAAGGACAGAAGGTTGTAATGATAGATTAGTTCATTGACAGTGATGACACATAGTAGGACAGAAACGTCCAAATGCTTGGATCCTTGTTCCACGCTGCTTTTCTCTCGGCACAGCTGGCAACTCAACATGCTCATACAGTGCCCTGTCTGAGAACTGAAGCTCTTCCTCAAGGTCTGTCTTGTGTCAGGCGCCCCTGACGTGATCAAACAGTGTCCTTTTCAAAAGCCTTTCCCCCTATCATTCATACTCCCACTGGAACACAGGCATGACACCCTGTTTACTGCCTCCCCTTTGCACTTTTTCAAGATCTGTGATCTTATCTAAAACCTTTTTTCCATTAAGCGAGAGCCAACTCCGTTTCCATACACCTTCCAACCATGAGCAAAAGCAGCTTGTGTTTCGATTACGACAATGGTGGGAGTGACTGGATTGGCCTTGGTGGCCAGTGCTTCAATGGTCTTCTCCAGCAAACAGGTGCATCTTAAATGAAAGCACATCAACAGTTTACACAGCTCATGAAGACAGCAACAACATCAAGAACATCAACTGTTTTTGTCTCTCACAAATTCAGGTAAAAAAAAATAACCTGCATCCAAATGTTGCAAAAACAGACAAACAGAGTTAGCTATACAAACTGTGAAAAGCTTGGCCAATCAAATTACAGGACCTGTTGCATAACGCAAATGATAGTACTCAAATGTGTTGGGAAATTGGTACTTAATGTCAGTATTGATTCAGTAAATTTGCACTACTTTGCATTAAAAGGCTAATTAAATGAAAGACTGACATCTCCTAATTCCCCTTCCGAATTCCAGAGTAAGGAAATAAGATTAAATCCAAACTGACATCTTAAGACGAAGTAGAAAAATCTCTAATGTTAGTTGGCTGACTCTTGTATATATCACATTCTGCCTGTCTAACCGGGTCAGTGGCAAACTAGAGCACCTTTCTGAGTGCTCAGAGAACAAGAGGCCCTTTATTGCTCTCTGTGTCACAGAGGAGGCAGGAGACCATTACAGGTGGGAACGTTGAAATATTTTGTTACGATTTTTAAAAGCCACCGGCGCAGCCTGCGGTATAAATCACCCTCGATAACTCAGAATTAAGTCAATCTGAGCCATCTAAGTAGAATATCCAGTTTTCTAAACCATGAAATGGAACACAGTTAGGAAATGTGAATGGGGAACTCAATGAACTTCTCCCTCAAACCAGATTAATTCTCAGTCATATAAAGAGGAATTGAATCTGACTATGGCATGACGTATACAGATGATTATGGCAGTGTTCACCTACTGTGCAATTTCCTTTTTCAATCTTACAGAATGCATGTGATTTCTGAAGGGATAAAGGATACTGAATGTGGCTTTAATGATGTAAGTGTTCATGATGGCAGCATAATGTGTTCTTTGTGTTGGTGAAGCTGCATGTAGAGCATTAATGCATATAGGAAAGGATACAGGGAGGTTTGTTTAAAGATTCCCACATTACATTATCTGAGTGTCAAATATGATTATCAGAGAGGGTTATGGGTTTAGCATTAGCAAAGGTGATAAAAAGATTTTGTTGATACTGATACAGAGGTGTGGTACGGAGCTTTAACCTTGGTGAAATGCTCTCAGCTGCAGTTCTGTAATCAGCTCGACACAAAAAGTTAAATTATCTTGCTTTGATGCGCTGTAAAAACATTTGTTGGGTGAGCAGACAACTGTGAGTTATTGATATGGCCACTGAAAATCCTTTTCATTTAAAGAACCTGTTGCTCATCTTAACAAAAGGCTATAGTGCATTGTAGTCTCACATGTGGTATATAGTTTAATACTACATTAGATGCAATGTACAGTCGACATACTGTACATTGGTAGGGGTGCCTTGCTGAAAAACTCACAAAAAGTAGAATTTTATCATTTGATTATCCAACACACAGTGAACAAGGCCAGATTACATCATTTCAGACTAGCCAGTATCTAATCAATTCATAAAAGTAATTGAAACAAACTGAAAATCATTAAAATCATTAAAAATGCTATATAGGTTGTATTAGACATAATATATAGATAGATATAGGTTGTATTAGAAATAATAATTAATAATAATCTCAGTAATTTTAATTCTGTGTTTTTTAAGTTATATACCTTGTTATTTTAATTAAACTGCATATTACTTTTTTGAGCTCTTAAATGTTATAGCAATAAATTATCAAGGAACAGCAAGTGTGACGTTTAATGACCTCTTCTGTCACATAAGTTATTTAATAATTCAGCTGATATCAACCTCAAGCTCTAAATGACATCATAATTAATGATGCAATTAACCAAGCATATGTTCATATGGGACATATGTTCATACTATATATCTGACCCTCAAACATACTGGCACAAGAGACAAAAGTGCTAATAATGTTAATAATGTTCTATTCAATAGAATTTATTTATCACAAAGGTTAGGAGTACATGACGGAGTCAGCAGAAGCAGCATGTGGTTTGCTTAAGGGCACAGATTGTGGTTGTGATTGATTGTTCATTGATTTCAAACAGTCTCCCATGTCTTCTTTCACACAGCATTTTGAAACCAATAGTCTCAAAAGATTAAGATTTTCTTCATTAACTTATTTCTCATGATGAAACCTCTCACCACATTTAACATTTGTTTCTTCCTTTCATGTGCACATGCAATCCAAGTTTGACTTTTGCCCTCCAAAATTATATGCAAAATCCATAATTTCCATGATATGAACCAGTGGCTACAGAACAAATGCTTAATGAAAATGTTCTAAAGCTTGTCAAAAACTAATTACTTATAACAACCAAGTAGCAACTCATGTAAAAGCCACTCTTGATTTTTCCCCCTACTGATAGCATATTCAAGCATGAGCACAGTCCAAGTGTGCTGATTCTGTGATGTTTCTGACTAGTGTGGGACAATGCGTTGTTGCAGATGTAACAACTTAACCTCTGTGACCTCAGCTGTCCTCTCAGCACAAATAAAACAACAACATCCTGTCTCGCAGCACAGAGCAGCGCTCCAGTCTCACCATCCGACAGCTCGGCTTCCTCTTTCACAAACGCTCCTAACAACATGTCAACAGACGCAACCAATCTGAACATATGCACATGCAATCCGAGTTTGACTTTTGCCCTCCAAAATTATATGCAAAATCCATAATTTCCATAATGATATGAACCAGTGGCTACAGAACAAATGCTTAATGAAAATGTTCTAAAGCTTGTCAAAAACTAATTACTTATAACAACCAAGTAGCAACTCATGTAAAAGCCACTCTTGATTTTTCCCCCTACTGATAGCATATTCAAGCATGAGCACAGTCCAAGTGTGCTGATTCTGTGATGTTTCTGACTAGTGTGGGACAATGCGTTGTTGCAGATGTAACAACTTAACCTCTGTGACCTCAGCTGTCCTCTCAGCACAAATAAAACAACAACATCCTGTCTCGCAGCACAGAGCAGCGCTCCAGTCTCACCATCCGACAGCTCGGCTTCCTCTTTCACAAACGCTCCTAACAACATGTCAACAGACGCAACCAATCTGAACATAAAAACTATGTCAGAGTGCATGCATTTCTCTTTAAATGGGGTCATATAAAGAGCATCACTTTCAGGGGGCTTAAAGAAAATCTCTGAAAAGCCATAAACATAAATGTCACATAGCAAATACACACCATAATGCAAACCCTGAGATCTTATTGGTGCATTTAAAAGGCAAACGACAGAGTCTATCAAAGGCCACTGCTAGATATTAAGTCAATGATTGAACATGTTTTACTATTGTAACTGTATGTAACTAGAGCCATTTTTTAAACCCTGAATTAATTATTACCATATTTGTTTATTTATTGTTATACTGGATATGGCATCAAACATGATTTGAAAGAAACCCTTGGAAATGCTGCTTCAACATTTTGATCATTATAATCTGTTAAGCAGTACATTTCATAACTATGAGACTGGCATATGAACTCATAAAAATACTGTACAGCAGATTGCAATTTTCTACATCCCTATATTTCTTTCATAAAACATTCAGAGAGGCATTCATTCCATGAAAAAAAAAGAGACCTTTAAAATTAAATGCATAAATGTCACTTTAAGTAACAGGTGAACTCCAGTTGTGAACATACATGATGTAATCAATAAAAAAGAGTAATAACATTTTAACTCACACAAAGGCGTGGTAAACGAATGCCCAGGCTCGTGGTCGCTCCAGGACATTGTAGAGGTAGTTCTGGAGCTTCCTGTAGCGCGCGTTTCTCCGGCCGCTCTGCGCGCTGTAGGTGAGCGGTTTCCCCAGCAGGCTAAGCCGGGCGCCCTGCTTTCTCCTCTGGTTCTCCGAGCCTCCTGCACCTGTTGTGCCCGGCGCCGTCAGCAGGCTGTCGACTGTCCTGGTCGCGCTGTTCATGGTCTCACGACCGGCTTCAACATCTTTCATGCCATAGTGCTGCGAGGTTTTCATCCAGAGACCAGTACCGCCCTCATCTCCGCTGTGGTTGCGGGGCATCGCATCACCAGCGCGGGCTGGAAACGCGCGTCTGGCACCTGCGCTGCGCACATATAAAGAGGCTGCACACGAGCTTCACAGTTCCCTGTGTAAAAACATTGGATACTTTATTGATCTTCTCTCTTTTTTTCTTACCCTTTCTTTAAGATTATATAGGCTACAACAGGATCACCTACTGACAAGTGCAGGCATCCAACTCTGGCAGATAAGCTGTGAAAGATTTGGTAAAGTTATGAACCTTCAGATGACTCAAGCGATCTGCTCCCACCGCCGTGAGATTGGAGTTTTGAAGGAGCGTCACTATCTCAGTGGAGATTTGGCGAGGGGAGGGCATCACCCGACATTAAGCAGAACGCGCGCTCTCGGTTTCTCTCTGTCTCTGTGTGTGTGTGTGTGTGTGTGTGTGTGCTACTGTAAACCATAGACTACTGTATTCTAGTTCAGATGTGCTGACAAGATCTAATGTAGGACTTAAACACCTCCAATACAGGCAAATTATGTGTTTTGTGCTTTTAGGGGGCACACTTTTAAAATTATTCATTCAGTCATTTTTCACCATTTCATGTATCACTGCAATCTCTAGAAGTAAGCTATAACAATTTCAACTCAATGTCAATGTTTCATTACCAGATTTTGTCTTTTCACAGTCGCGTCTGCTTCATATCACCTACTAAAAAGGCAAGCAATTAATGTAGGGCAAAACCGGACAATAAATGAAATATTGAAATCTAAATTTCTTAAATGTGTTAGCCTTTATCTGTCCTCTGGTAGCTGCTGACTCTTTGCTAACTTTGCAAAGTCATGGTTGCTTGAGTTTTATAACGTACAGAGGACACTTGGGTAGTTTAATAGTATTCCTCACTATGTGAACATGACTGAAATTAAGCTTGGGGGGCAAGCTTGTTGACACAGGGGCACTGGAACCGCCCCTGATGCGACTTGTGTTCTCGAGCGTATAGGCTACTTAGTGCACTATTGTAATCTAAAATGTATTCTTATTAAAATCAGGGTGTGAACTACAACGTTTTTGGGGTTTGGGGGTCAACTGAGATTAATTGATTAAGAGGGTCAAACAAATAATTTGCTGCCTCGCGTTTAATTTTTATTCCCCCAAAACTGTTTATTTATGTTCCTTGTTTTAAAAAAAAAATGCCCAAAAAGAATTCGTACATAATAATATTTAATCGCGATTGTGATAAATAAGATTCCCAAGTGCTTTGGAATCGCCATCTGCTTCCTCTGCAGATGCCCATTTATGTCGAGCTGAGAGAGAACTGCGCGTTCATTCTCTGCTGAGCGGCTCGGATTAACGACAGCACATTTAGGCTGTGTAAAAACGTATGTTTCTGAAGACACACCTGACAATCTCATCCAAATATATAGCGAAACAAAGTTATTTAAGCCTGGGGAAACTCTGTCATCACTGATACAAACATTTAACTATAACACCGATGTGCCCACATCATCTTGAATCGACTTACAAACGTGTTTGAATTACAACTAATAATAGGCTAGTTCTCTACTCACTGTGGTGGCAGAACAGATTCTCCTCAAAAGACTCTTTATAGAAACACCAAACAAAAAAACTTAAGCGCATAACTGAGTCTTTCTGGGTTCCTACTCAACTGAAACAGCTTCAGTCTTATCCGGTAATCACGGAGCCCGCAGCCCGCAGATCTAGCGGAGCCTCTGTCAGACAAATCACGTGATCCGAAATTTTTTTTTTTACTGCAACCGCCAGTAAACGGTAGGTATACCGTTGAATTAGCAGGTAAACGGTACGTTGAAGTGCAATGTGAACGTTAATATATTCGACATATAACAGCAGTCTACCTGGCATTCTTAAGAATGTCTCTTTGTGACTCGGTTACATTTCTTTTTCAGTTCCCGTGATATGATTTGTTTTTCACTATACGGTCATTATGCATGATTAATTCAATTACTTTGACATTAAAAATAACAATTATTTGTCATGCCAATAAAGCACATTAAATACACTGCACATAACAAGGCACATAATTTAAAGCAAAATATGTGTCTCAGACTGTCTTGTCATGAAATACTGAATAATATACGAGAGAAACGCAAAAGCATTACATGAAGAGACTGGCAATAGAACTGCACTGAGTGTGTGTGTCTCTTTGTGTGTGTAAGAAAGTGAGATGCCAAACGCAGCTGCTTAGCGCTTCACTGATTGTCTCAAATTCAGGGAACCTTATATTGCAGTGTCACCATCTAATACTGTCACTCTACAATGTGCTTCCATGTCAGCAAATATAGTTGCAGCATTATTTTTCAGGTTATATCAGTCTTAGACATGAATAATAGACCATGTATCAGCATCTTTTTTCATGCTTTTTAGAAATTGGTTCACGTGCATGAGAGACATTATGATTCTTTTTTCTTTAAAGTATCTGTTTGTCCCATTCACAAGTCTTTAAGTTTAAATTTTGTGCTTAATGTGCAAATAGAGTGGATAAAATCTTTACTATTTCTCACACTAAGAATAGAGTTACAGTATAAAAAGCATAATTATGCCATATGGGCTTTTCTTGCAGCTGTGCAAACGCTGTTTAAGCTTTCATTAACAAAACTGCCAAGAGTGAGAACAGAAAGTCAAATAAATAAGCCAAATGAACAAGAACACCTTGTTTTTACAATACAAATATTAAAATTTTTATTGAGTTTATTTATTGATCCTGGTGGTGCAGACTTGAGCTCAATGTAATTTTATTATAAGACAAAGCAATTTATTGTATTTTATTACAAGCAAAGCTCAAATTTACTGCTGTACTGGGATGGTAAAAACATCTGCATATGAACTTAATGCATGAACTCTTATGAACAGGACATTTATCCTATGTAATAATTTTGCTGACAAGGGTAGTCTTTCTGATACTACATTTTTGACATTCACACATTATTATTATGATCATAAAAATGTATTACTATATTTCTGATGACATAAATCAAATTTTTTATTATTATGTGGATAGCTCTCCAAGAAGGATTCATTCACAGCTAACAACAACACACTCTAGTGGTGTGAGTCTGTTAATACAGACTTGAATATAGCCTACTCATTTACAAAGTATTGGAGAGGCAGTATAACATTAAGTGACATGGCATCTGGCGTACGAAAGCCATTGGCACATGCCACTATGCTCAGTGGCACATCCGGTGACACTTCCGGTTTTCACTGACGTGTGTCAGTGGAGTGTGGCATGTGCCACTGACACTTGTGACATGTGCCGATGAATTGTGCCTTAGTATAACGTAGACAGTGTAACACACGCACTTAATGGCAAAACTATATTTAATTGATGATACATTTCGGTTTCTGTCAAGCATATTAATTACATTGCGGAGTTAATTTGTGTAACAACTCAGGCTTCTTCATGTGTTTTATATTTGTCTTGTGTCCTTTTGTTTGCCTGAACGTTTTTCAAATAATAAAAAAAATTCACATTGTTATAAAATGGTTTAATTTTTCTATTGCATAATTCTATCAAATAATTTTTTTAAACATTATAGCCATAGATGAGATAGATTGCGCTGGCCAACGTTATATTGATGATGCTGCATGCACGCAGGTAGGTGTCAGTACCAAAATCAAAGTTTGCAGTAACAGATGCGACTGTAAATTTGGTATTTGTAGTGACCCATGATAGATTAGTTCCATGTGGATGGTTTGCAGTGACACAATCCATCGGCACATGTCACAAGTGTCATTGGCACATGCCACTCTCCACTGACACACGTCAGTGAAAACCGGAAGTGTCACCGGATGTGCCACTGAGCATACTGGCATGTGCCAATGGCTTCCGTACATCAGATGCAATGCCACTTAATGTTAAAGGGGTCATATGATGCGATTTAAATTTTTCCTTTCTCTTTGGAGTGTTACAAGCTCTTGGTGCATAAAGAAGATCTGTAAAGTTGCAAAGACTAAAGTCTCAAATTCTTTATAAAAGTTAAGAGTCAACCACTCCTACCTAAAACGGCTAGTTCTAACACGTTTCTATAAAGTTGGGCAGTTCCAACATTGCAAGGACAGTCTAGCGCTTCTTGACTCACAGCCTGTAAGTACGTTTTTTATATTTAAATAATTTGCCACTGATGATTCAAACGCGAGTTTTGAGCAGTGTAGAGTAGGCTTGTTGTTTGTTGTTTCGCCGATCACAAATGCAGACATGGTTTTATGTTTACTCAGCGCGATACGCAACGCGTAAAAATACTGTATAAGTCATTATAATCAGTAATTATGTCCCCACTTGATGCAACAAATGCCTCGTTTGTAATGGGTTTTATTGGTTTTGTCTCGTCCTGCTGGGAAACGGCATCACAGTATGTTAAGGGGCGTAACATTTCCATCACATGCTCGAGGCATGTGGCCAATCACAACGCACTGGATAGCTGGCCAATCAGAGCACACCTCGCTTTTTTAGAACGATGAGCTTTGTAAAAATCGACACGTTTCAGAAAGGCGGGGCATAGAGAAGAAAAAATAATGTACATTATATGGAAATTAATGTGGTTTTTTAACCTTTAAACACATTGCATTACACCAAATACACAAAATTTAATGTGTTTTTTTAACCTTTAAACACATTGCATTACACCAAATACACAAAATAATGTTCTTTTTAGCAACGTCATATGACCCCTTTAATGCTACTGAAGTATTGCTACAAGCCTGAAATATAGTTTAAGATAAAAACCAACAGCTTATAAATAAATAAATAAATCAATCAATCAATAAAATACTGCCACTACTATTCTTCTAATAGTGTGGTTCCCTATAGCTTATGTGATTTAACTATAGTAGCGTAGTAGCTAGGCCAAGCTCTAGTGAGAGCTGCAGTCACTAATTATTTAAAAAAAAATCACAATCACATTAACATTCATTTCACAATCAAATCAGATTCACTGATTTAGAGGTTACACTGTAAAAACTAAGACTTGGTTTGGCCATAACTTTAAGATCTGTGAATTAACAGAGAGTTTACTGAAGCCTCTAATGTTGAGGCCTCCTCCATGGAATCCATCAGAAACACATTTCTGCAGAATGTGAGTATGGCACAGTGGTGAGGGATAGTGAGAACCCAGACAAACTCTCCAATAACCCCTGTCATTAAAAAAAAGCTATGAGGATTATATGGCCATCGGGATCAAGGCGAAGAGAAATGAGTAACGAGACTTAAAATATTAGCAATAGATTCATTTGAAGAATGGAGCGCAAGATATGCTTTTTACATATTTGCAAGACTGGCCATAAATCAACCCCTGTTTTAAAAATGTTTGAAATCTTTTACGGCACTGTTTTCATTTCCCAGGCAGTCTGAAACCAGACAAAACAGACACTTTCCACTAACAGCTGGCTGGCAATGCAAAGTTTATGAATGTACTTACTGAATGCCTGCTTCACAGTCCTGACTGATTCACCTGCTCACACGAGAGAACGCGAAACATTGCAGATACATTCAGCAGATTACTATGTTATAGCCTAATGTTGATTGTTTAACTCTTGTCCAAGACTTTATTTCGAAACGGATGTCACTAAAAGTAATGATAAATTGCAGTTCCGTCAGAAGATTCGGTAACCACTCTGATTGATTCATTCAATGACGTATGTCAGTGACTTTTGAGCGTTGGAATAATTTGTTTCGATGTAAATGTTGCATGTTATGTCTTTAATGTCTAATAAAAAAATAATAATAAAATAATAAAATTTAAAAAATCATTTGTTTGGAACTAGTCAATCAAACTGCCACGTGATTTCAGTAAACTAGGCTTCAAAATGTTTCAGAACTTCAATGGTTCGCCGCTAGGGGCGATTTTGGATCGATATTATAAATTTGTAGAGTGAATTTTAATGACTTTTTCATGTAACTTTAATTTAATTTTAATTTAACATTTGTATAACAAAAAGGACGAGTTTTCTGCATGTTTGGGCTGAGTTTTCGCATTTACACCGTTCTGACCAGTAAGGCGTCACTTTGAGCGCTTCCAAAAAGCGAATCATTGTGCGAAGCAATTGGTTCAATTGATTCCTAGTCTCGGAAAGTTTGGAAAGAATTTGCTCCTCAGTCGGACTACACTTGTTGCGCTGAGTTACGCGTTCAACTCGCGAAGGTAATTCCTACGGTGGCCGAGAGAGCTCAACGTGCTGCAAATAGAAAAAAACACCTGCAAATTAAGAAAACGACTTCATCATTTTGACAACACACGCGCTACAAATGCTCACAACACAACCAAACAAAGAAACGCGCTGCAAATAAAATAATTTATTTGGTTGTGTTGTGAGCATTTGCAGCGCGTTTCTTTATTTGTTTGCGTTGTGAGCATTTGCAGCACCTGCTGTCAAACTGATGAAGATGTTTTCTTGATTTGCTGGTGCTTTTTCTATTTGCATGTCTTTTCTGAAGTTGCAGCACGTTGAGCTCTCTCGGCCACCGTATTAATTCAATAGAAAAAAAGTGATTTCTTACCATTATTTCACGGTACATTATCTTTTTTATCTCATTAGATTTCGAACAGTAACTTACAGGAAACGATTGTGTGTATTGCCTCCTCAGAGCTCTGCCCTCTTAAATAGAGTAAAATGAATGAGTGAAAATATTTAAGAGCTTCAAAAAATAAATAAATAAATAAATAAATAGAAAGTCTGAAACTTGATGTTCTTCTGTCAAAATAGATATTGTTATTTGTTATTTATTATTTTTTGTTTGTTTAAAATGACTAACATTTAAAGGAAAATTAAAATATAAAATATTAGTATTACAAAAAAAAAATGTAATACTATTCTAAAGTTGAGAGATTTTTTTACACAAATTTAAATTTGACAAAAGTAGCATACTAGTGTTTGAAATGTTGTTTTTCATTTATAGCAGGCAGTATACAATGTATACTGTGCAGTATTCATGAAACTAGTTTTCATTATAAATGCATCCATTGTTTTATCACTGCAAATTACTCCCTTTTATTGCTAAACATGCAGACAGTTCAACCATTTTAAAGTAGCAAGTTATTACAATGAAGTGCAAATGTCACAGATATTTTATGTCGGGTTAAACCAAATTTGCCCCTGGCTGCAGGAATGTTCCCAGTTATCATCTGAAACTCCACAACAACTTCCTGCACTGATTTCGTCACAGTTCGCAAGATGATAACAAATCATCTTGTAATTTACTGTCTTGTTATTCCTTCCTGCTAAAGCTGTTCAGATTCAACCACTCACACATTGTTGGACCAAAATGATGGTACAGCTTGTGTTGTCCACTTACCGTTGAACTCTCGACATCAGGTGGGCTGTCTGCAGTACATAGTGGACCAAAATAGGTTTGGTCTCGAAAAACACACCTGGGTTCCAGCTGCTGGCATTCTCGACCCTTTCCTTCTCTGCCTTGCTTCTATAGGCCATGTCTTCCTTCATGATGAAAGTGTGCAATTCTTTTTTCTTTTTTTATATCAAATAAAGTTTATATAAATAAAACTAACATTGTATGAAAATATTAAACTTAAAAAACCTGAACAAATATTAGAAATATTGCCTTGGCAACTAACTGAATTAAACAGGTTTAAGTTGAAGAAAAATGACTAAAACTAAAACTGAAATAAAAATGCATTAAAGCTACATAGAAATATTAAATAAAAACTAATCAAAATGACAAATGCATATAACAAAATTACTAAAACTTAAAAATATAAAACTGAACTGAAACTGAAATATAAAAAGCTAATTCAAAATATTAATAAATACTATAATAGTATATAAATAATCGTAAAATAACACTGGTGAAGATAACCAAAGGTATTTTTTATATACAGTAGTTTACTATTCCCCTTCTTACCTTTATTTTTCTGTTGATGTATTTTTGATTATGATTCTATTCATAGAATTATGAATTATGATTCTTTTAATGTTTTAAAGCCTTCATTGTTTGCACTTTCATGTCTTTGTTTTCTGTCTCTGTCATGTCTGTTTATAGCACTTTAAAATAACCTTTGTGTAAAATCTCAGAATATGCACCCTTAAAGGTACTATTCACCTTTAGAGGGAAATATGAAATCCTTTTGAAAGGATACTGCCTCATTGACAGCCTTTTTTTTTTTTTTTTTTTTAGAGCGTGTACATACATAAACCTGCCTTGCCTCATTACTCTGTTTAATATCATTGCCTGTTTTTGATTTCAGTTTTAAATGTATGATGTGGTTCATGGAAAAAACAGCACTATTTTGTTGCAATCCAACTAACTGTGGAATGACGTCATGATTTCCTGACATGCCGCTGCTTGATTTGATTTTCAGTGGTGAAGCATCTGTGTAATATTATGCCCTAATAACAATTTTGGTTCCTGTTCTGTGTTACTGACCTGACATTACAATAGCAGCAGTGAGTGTTACGCTGAATAAAATTTGAAGTAACACCAAATCTATTATTATTATAAAAACATAACATTATACAAGTAATTTAGTGCAGAGCTAAGCTTTTTTCTTTAAGGTTATGTTCCACTAGACTTCAGAATGGCTACTTTTATTGCTCACCTAAACAGACACTGACATTACATTACAATTAGCCACATAACTGAATTAGGCTATAAACACACAACACAGTCTATTGTCACATTTCCAGAAATCTGAAGCACTGACAGAAGTATTTTTAGCAGTTGTTAAACAGTGACCATTGCATAACTATTAAAAAACTAAACAAAAGGAAGGAAAAGTGTAATGCTATTTGTCTCCACGTGGTGGAGGGATTGGATTACGTTTAGCATCAGTATGATGGATTGGTGGACAGGATGCTACTAGACTGACCTTGATTTGAGGGGATGGGCAAAATGTAAAATGTGAATAATTTAATCCTTTTTAATTGTTAAAGTATTTGGTACAGAAATATTCTTACACCTTTTAAATTAGCATGGATTATAAATAAAAACAATGTAAAAGCTTTTAACGTATTAAAAAAAACAAAAGAAACAATTATATATATATATATATATATAAATAAAATTCAGTACACAAATTTTCTTCCACACGGTCTTTTATTTGTAAATAATAAAAATGAACTCTTGAATATAAAACATACACATTATTTGAGCCACGTCTGCTGTACAAACAAGAAATGTTGCAGTGAATACTTTCAATTTTGTTTCAGTGGAACACACGAACTGTAAACAATCAGTATCCTTGAATAATACTGACAAAGTAAATAACTCTGCCCTAACCAGGCATATAAAGTAAACTTCTCATTGAAACGAGGATTCATGAGCATTTATGATAACGCAACAGGTCGGCAGAGGTCCAAATTTCTCTCATCAGATTGGGCATCACTAAAATAAAACTTTAGAGGCATCCCTTCTTCCGCTCAGCAGAACCAAGAGACAGAGCACTGATCCATTAACTTGAATGGGGCTGCTTTGTAAATATAAGTAAACTTCTTTGCAGACTCATATTTACATATATGCATGTACGTAAGTGATGTTTACTTGATACACTCTGTTTCAATATCAATATATCTCTAAGTCATTGTGATTTTCGTAATAATATTCCATGTACAGATAGCTCTAGTTTTTATACAGATTATCTACCTTAGTTTTAGCCTCACAGTAGTACAGACTACAGTGAACACCAACGTCTTTAATAAAAATAGGGCCTTGTGTTTGCTCAGTACTACAGTGCAGCACTTCATTTTCCATCCAGGGTTTAAAAAAAAACAAAACAAAACAAAAAAGGAAATCAAACAACTTAAAAATTATTATAGACATTCGGCCCCAAAATAAGGCCTGTGTGTATGGCTGAACCCGGCCAAATGCCCACACATGGAATGAATGGCTTCGTTTTATTTGATAATCTATTTATATCAAGTACAAGCAAACTGTACAAGTACATGCAACATACAAGCTGGCCTACAGTTTGTGGAACTAACACACACTTATTGTAGTCTCTTTTTTTCTCATCTGTCTTGTTTTACAAATTGTGCATGCAACTTGGAACAGTTCCAGATTCATGCTGTTCCCCTTGTTGGTGGCATCTGTTCCCCTTGTTGGAACGTCTCACTGTCACATTCAAAATGCTCAGGCGGGATCTGTGAGATTGGTTTTATAATCAACTAAACTGAAAACTGATGACAAACAGCTAAAAATAGGAAGCTTCTGATTTTGGCCTCTTTTTTTGTATTAGTTTTAATTTCCAAAAGCTTGAACTTTTTCTCTTTTTGTGCTTGCATTAAAATAATGTAAATTCTAGTCGGGTAGAAATTCGAATATCAGAATGTACAGGTCCTTTACCAAACAGAATAGAATTAAAAATGCTTGGAAAGGCCTGTAAGATATGGTTTGTGATCGCGTGAAATCTGGGAATCAAATGTGTTAGTGAGCTAATGCATCTAGTGACTGTTTCTGCAGTTTCCTGTCAGGGAACCTAAATGATTATGGCAGCTTCTTACAGTCCCAGTGAATCAAATACAAGTGGTTTTGTGTCTTCTATGAAGCTCGTATGACACAAATGTCAGAAAACATGAAGCATGTTTTCACATTCTACAAAGTGTGCCTATTTACCAAATCAACAGTAACGTGAAAAAGCAAAGCAGTCGGTAGCGACTGCTGTAAACAGACTTAAAAGGTTCTCAGGCGTTCCTGCCTTCTTAGACGCAAACGCACACTCTCACACACACACACACACACACACACCGCAGTCACACAATCTGAGTCTGAGTTTGTGCCAGACCGGCACATGGCGGGGCCTTGGATGCAGCATCCGTGATGCAGAGAGGAAACTCTCTGAGAAGACTACATTTTGACCTTTAACCCTCGACCTCTGGTCTTTCAACAGAGGGACTTCCTGTAAGTGCAATATAGAGGAAGGGCAGTGCTGTCCTCTCACTCTCGCTAACTCTCAAACACATGTGAGAAAATAAATGCGCTGACTGACCAGAGCAGTCTAGGCTACCGGCGCCACTGTGGGCTCCGCTTCCTGTCAGATGAAGCAGGATCGCGTTTCGGCTGCCTCTCCCTTCCTTCTCATTTTATTTGGGTCGAATCGTCATCTCAGCAACAAAACATGCAGTAAAGGGGCAGAGTGGATCAAAGGAAATCTCTACAACCCAAAGATCAAAAGTAAAAGAGAGAAGTGATTGTCAGGCTTCAGCAAAGCTTTGATCATGATTCTGTCCATCTGTCTCTTTATCTGCCGCTCTGATTCTGATTGTTGCCTCCGGTCCTTGGTCCACTGGGTCGTGTGTTTTGTTTCGCCTCGCGCTCCCGTCTGTTCACTAGGACCTGATTCCCGGCGGCCCTGAAGAGTCCAGCGAGGTCTGGGAAGCGCGACGAGTGAGAGGAGCTAACGTCGGGTCGACCAGTGATGAAGGGGGAAACAGTCTGTACCAACCGATCACTGTGCTAGAAAGATCCAGCTCCTCTAAAAGAATCTGGGCGACTCCCATGAAACATTTGTGGTCCATGCGGCCGTAATCTCCCCAGACTATTACCTGAAGAAACAATCAGTGGTCAGTGAGCACAAATGTTGGACTTTGGAGGCATATCGGGAACAAACAAATGAAATTCGCTTCCTACCTGAAGAACTTTACCCTGCGGACTTTCCTCAAACAGCAGCGATTGCTGATACAAAGGATCGAGCGTTTTTCGTGCAATCTTGGTTTTCTTTTTGGCTTTGCACGCTCCGTTTTCCAGCAAATAGACCTTGACATAGGGAGCTGTGAAGAGCAGACGTAGTGCTCAACTAGGGCCGTTCAGGCAGTTATAGTGCCTGGCGGTGGCACATGTCATATTTACAATTAGTACAATGTATAAATCATCAAATTTCCTAGCTGTAATCACTCCATTAAGAACATTTAAACACATGTTTCTGTTAGTCCAAGCACTATAAAAACTACAAATACACTACCGTTCAGAAGTCGGTAAGATTTTTTTATAGTGTTTGAAGTCTTGTATGCTCACCAATGCTGCATTTATTTGATCAAAAATACATTAAAAACAGTAATATTGTCAAATATTTTTTACAATTTACATTTTTTCTAAGTATTCCATTTGAATATATTCCAGTTTTCAGTGTAGCATGATTCTTCAGATACCATTCTAATTGCTGATTTGCTGCTCAAGAAACATTTCTTATTATTATCAATGTTGAAAACAGTTGTGCTTCTTAAAATTTTTTGTGGAAAATCTTTAACATTTTTCTTGTGACATTTTCAGGATTCTTTGATAAATGGAAAGTTCAAAAGAACAGCATTTATTTGAAATAGAAATCTTGTGTAACATGTCTTTACTGTCACTTTTGATCAATCGAATGCATCCTTGCTGAATGAAAGTATTAATTTCTATTAAAAAAAAAAACTTACTGACCATTTTTATTGGTACCTAATGCTTACATAGGAAAAAAAATCAATATACTTAAAACTGATTAATTTACTCATAACAATAACAATGTTTACACAATAAGTGGAAGACACAATGAATCCGTGATCTATATTCAGTATTATTCACTACTCTCTCACCCGGCAGCGATTTGGAACCTGGTTTAGGCGTAAGACCACGGGCCCTGATAACCTCCACCTCTAGTTGCCCTTTCTTGTCCATCAGTCCAATCTGAACATCTCCTACAAAACAAAAAAAAACAAATTCATTGCAGCAAATTCAACTTAGATAGACTTTAGCCCATACATATACGAAGATGTTTACTCACCCATAGCAGGCGTAGCAAGTGTTTGTCTACCCACCAACTGAGCAGGGCCAAGACCATCTAGGAAGTCACTGAACTGGCTGTCGGCCCCTAATCTCATCCCTGAGAAGATCAGACTGAGACACACACATACACAGGTTATCAGATAGACGAATTAATGAATGGATGGATAGATAGATATCATACTGTAAGGCAGTATTTCAAATACAAGTTACAGTAAATTTCTTGTTATCTTCAGCTGTTCTTAATACTTTGCTGTCATAAATCAATAGAAATTCAAAAATTTGAATTTGAATTGAATTTGCTTCAATTTCTTGAATCCTTTGTAGATACAAACATGTGAAAACAAACAAAAACTTATAAAACAGTTAGTTTATTTGGATGAAATCTACTATTCCAGAATGAGCCTACTGCCCTCATATAGAGTTCAAAAGCTAGTGAAACGCAGCCCAGCCCACGCAGACTTGTGCTGTGTATGGTATGGTATGTAAACCCTGTCTTGCGTTAAGGCCCCTCTTAATACACTCAATATTTCCTTTGAAACCAGCGCAATTTCCATGACCTAACTCCTGCAGGAATGTCTGAGGAACGTGCCAGCCCGTGTCGAGCTACCATATGAACAGCCTTATGTGATTTCAGACTATTTAAAACATGTTCATGTAAAATAAGCCTTAAATCATGGAGTCGCAGAGTCACACTCTGTGGAGTGACACGGTGGCCAGGTCAACCGACCAACTGCCGCTCTGAAGCCGCAAAGGGAAGCGTGACTGAAGTTTCTGCGTAGCTACAGACCCTGCCAAGACCCCTCTTTGCAGATGATGGATATCTTAATTATTATAGGGGAGTACCGCTTGCCATCTGGCTCCAAAGATGGAGCTGAGAAAGTAGTGGACACAGCATTAGCTCTGTAAATCAGACTGTTCTCTATTAGCTTATCCTTATGGTTTTTCCAAATAAATCTAGATGAGAGAAGCTCATATGAACATGACACACAGCCTGTTGAGAGACCACTTATCTATGAGTGATGGGTTTGCAGCCAATGCATAAAAACACCAGAGACAAGAAAAGTGTGAGTTGGGAAGCAGGTCAGCTTTGGGTAAAATAGCATAAACTACGACTGGGTTACATTATACATCGTAATGCGTACAGTACACTACCATTCAAAAGTTTTTTAATGAAGTCTTTTATGCTCAAGGCTGTGTTTATTTAATTAAAAACACAGTAATATAGTGCAAAAATATTACAATTTAAATGAACTGTTTCCCATTTGAATATATTTTAAAATGTAATTTACTCCTTTGATGGCAAAGCTGAATTTTCAGCATCATTACTCCAGTCTTTAGTGTCACATGATCCTTCAGAAATCAATCTAATATACTGATTTGGTGCTCAAGAATCATTTCTTATAATTATCTGTTGAAACAGCTGTGCTGCTTAATACCTTTGTGGAAACCGTGATCATTTTATAAGGACCCCTTGATGATAAAGTTCAAAACAACATTTATTTGAAATATAAATCTTTTGTAACTTTATATAAACCTTTACTGTCACTTTTAATCAACTGAATGCATCCTTGCTAAAAGGAAGTATCAATTTCATTACCAAAAAACCTTCCTGAGCCCAAACTCAATATATCTCAATACATCACCATTTTATTATTGGATCATGACTGATATGCTTCAATTTTTGTCCAGTACCATGTCACATAAAAGCAGCTCTGACAGCAGCTCAACGTGGGTTTTTGCAATAAATTATGGCCCTAGACAAACTGTAAGAAATAAACCAACAGATAAATAAATATTTATGGAAACACCTGAGGTATTGATGCAAAATTCAGAGAAAAAAAACTGACTTATAAATATGTGGTTTAGAACTGCAAAGTTGTGAGTATGCAAAAAAGGGGTTTACACTGCTTTGGATACTAACTTGCCCTCAGAGCTATAACTGTTCATGCTGCCATCAGTGGACTCTCGGCTGGCTTGGCGAGCCATGACGTTGCGGGGATACTCCACTGCCATTCCCGTCTCCTGACTGCGCTGGATCTGACTGGATCCCTTTGCTTTCTTGTTGGCTGCTTCTGTGGATGGAAAAAAAAAACAATATTACCATTCACTGGGCTTTCATAACGGGGGCAAGGGAAAGAATCTGCAAGACCTACAAAACAGAAGCTTAAACTAAAAATATTAGTTCTGTCAAAAGGTTAAACTAATTAATCATCATAATTAAGATAATTGTGTTATTTTGTCTTGGGGATTTTAATGATTACTAGATCAGTACAATGACACTATAAATAGATAAAGTAGGATTCTATTGAAATATTGCAGGTCTAATACAAAAAATAAATAAATAAAAGGACATATTTGCTTTGATTTTTGCAAGGTTTTATATTCACGTGTGTGTGTGTGTGTGTGTGCCTGGGTGTTTAAATTTGTGTGCTATTCTTACAGCTGTCACTCAGGAGAAAATATTGCGATCTAAGATGAAGTTCTTCGCCCCTGATGAGTGTAACATCTCCTGCTGGACGTCATGGGGCACCATCCGTACTATTTATGGCCTTTTGATGGATTACAGATCCTTTGAAAATGTCAACCATGTAGGTGGCTCACAGAGGCACTGTCATGCCAGTTGTTTTCAGTAAAAATGTAGCAGAGAGATTTATCTTTTCACTCATCATGCTCTCTTTCATCAGACCACCATCAGTGGCTTATTCTGACAAAACTTACAGAAAAAAATGCCCAGGGATTCTCATTAAAAGACCTGCATGGCTCTGATATTATTTGAGGAAACAGAAAAATACTGTCAGAGCACTAATCTACGGAATACAATACATTAAGATCATCTGTATGTTGAGGTTCACTGTTAAGATGGTATCGACAAAACAGCGTTGACTATTAAAAAATGTTTAATGGATAATGTTTTAAAACAGTAAGTAATCCTGGTAACATTTTATAAAAAGGTTCAATTTGTTAACATCAATTAATGCATTAGATAAAATGAACTACCTACAACCAACTATCAATAACAACATTTTTTACAGCATTTATTAATCTAGGTTCATGATAATTCATTCACTACGATTCACCATTTTCAGGGTAAGATTTTTTTTTTTTTAAACAGCATTCAAATAAATCCTGAAAAGAATCTATTCATCAAAGAATCTTGAAAAACGTCCACAAAAATATTTTTTTTTATTAAAAATAATTTTTAATCCATTAAGAATATTAAGCAGCACAACCATTTTTAATATTGATAATAAGAAAAGTCAGCTTTGCCATGAAAGGAATAAATTCTATTTTAAAATATTACTGTTTATACTGTATTTTAATCAAATAAATGTAGCCTTGGAGAGTGTAAAAAAAATCAACAAAAAAAAATCTAAAAACAAATTCTGACCAACATTAAACTTTTGAATTGTAGAGTAAATATACTGTTAATACCTGTTTATGCATTACATTAACTATGTTGATTTATACAATTTAAAAATGTATTAGTATACACATAAATTACCATGAACTAAAATTAGTAAATGCTTTAAAAGAATTGTTTGTTGTTTTTTCATAATACCTAATGTATTAAATCATGTATACAGATTTAGAAAGTGTTCCGGTAATCATATTTTTAGTTTTGGCTATGGTTGTGAATGGATGAGACTGGTGCAGTGGGCAGAGTGTGGAACAGCTGTTATAGAGCAGCGGAGCTCTTTAAAATGCTGATTTATCGCAGTTTTGCAACTCTTTCTGATTTATCATCTGATGGGCCTTTTAAGATATTATCCAAGCGCTTGGCAGACAGCGGTGCCAAAAAAACTTCTTTTGCCATCCTTTTTGAATTTGTTTCTTTTTTCAGTAGTCCATTTATTAAACTATAAACAGACAGTGCTTAAAATATGAGATTTTAGAGGATCCAACTTCAAAGGCATTTATCTACATTACATCTGATAGGAATTCAGGGTTGATCTGCACCTGACACAATGAACGTCTGCCAATGCTAACATGCTGCCATTCATATTTCCAGCCCGAGGTTTCAGCTCCCACACTTTAACAGAGACTGAAGACACATGCTACTTTAAGAGGTGAAACAGGGTAGAGAGAGACCTGATACACAGATGCATCAGACAAAGATGACCCCGGAAAAAGAGGAGACACTGATAAGAGATAGCAATCTAAGTAAAGCAGGAAGACTGAAAAAAAAAAAGACGTCAAACGGTCTTGGCAAATGGTCTGAACTGATGGAAAGGATGGTTTTAAACAAATTGCTCCTTAAAATTTGTCAGTCTCCATTTTGGAGACAATTCCCTACTGCTTTTGGCCCTGATGACACTAATGTCATTCAACTGAATATCTTTTCATTGTTACTCAAGATATAAACCATTTCTGGCCATAATAACTGCTGATTTTAGCTTCTTCACCAGTAGAGGGCACCTCAGGCTACATTAACTGAGCCCATGAAACTTATCTGTGTCCTGTATCGCTTCTCTGCTTTTTAAAAGAGTATAAAAGTTATATTTAAAACTTAATTCTTGTAAGGTGTATACCACCACTGTCCGCATGTGACTTTAGCAGACAGTGATATCCAAAGACAAAAGTCCTCGTCAAAGGCCCTATATGGTATGTGAAACAGCGAGCAGCATGTCTTGGATTTTAATATTTATGTTATTAGGTACAATACCTGATCTATACCACCGTCCAAGCTATATTCCATTGTTGCATAGAAATCTGAGCTTTTAACTGTAAAAAAAAACAAAAAAACACACACACACAAAGGAAGTGACAAGGTGCAAGTATACGATTGGCTGGAAGTGTCTGACCTGTCTGACTGAGCTGAGAGGTGCTCCTGCTGCGGCGAGAGGGAATGCCAACGATGGCGACTACACGTGCGCTAAGGCTGGATCTGCGCTTTTTCCCTCCTGCTCCCAGTGTTCCCAGAGCGGTGTCCGACTGACTGCCATCCGTACGCTCCAGAGTGTAGATTTCCCCACTAACACTTGTACTCTTCAGCATGGTGCGGCTGGATGGATGAATATGACGGCTGGTGTTGGGAGAAAACATAGCAAAGACTCTCAGTAATCCAAATGACAAATGGAAAATGACTATTCTGACGTTAATACGGCCTTCTGCACTTGATTATTGTGTGTGCTCTTTCTGCTTTTTTTCCCACTTCCCTCAAAATGAGTTTACCGAAATTCATAAAAATCTAAGAATGACGCTATCAAGGAAAAGACCGAGACTGAGAATCATTTAAAGGGATAATGGGAAACAGATTTTTTTTTCTTTGCTATTTTGATATAAAAGAGGATACTCTGATGAATAGACAATTCAAAATAACAGAATTTATTTGAAATAATAAAGACATTTCATATATTATAAAAAAAAAATGTGTCAAATTTTCATTCAATTTAATCCATTCTTGACCCCATAATAATCTGATCCTAAACTTATTAACAGAAGTTTATATGTACTCCACGTTCACAATGCAAATGTATGTAAATTAACCACTGTTACGTTGACATTAACTATTGACCACCATGTTTATAAATAAACAGGTGGAGGCACTATACAGATAAATCTGTGATTTTATAACTCTATAGATTACATCAATTGTTATTGACCCTCATTACCACCAATATGCTCTCTAACATTCCCAGCAGAATTCAAGAAATGTTTCAACATATTTTTATTTTACCAATGTACAATAAAGCCCCAACAAAGAGAAAACAAACAACATGAATGCATGACATTTAATACATGACATGTCAAAATACTATAACAATTCACAGATAATGCAACAGTCCAGTGTGACGCTACACCATGCATCTTACCTAAAGTGACCCCTGGGTCGTTCTGATTGAATGGACATGTAGCTGGTGCTACTGATCCGCGAGGCACTGCTGGCGCGAGAGATGGCTGACACGTCACTGACATCACTGTCTGAGGACTTGTGAGACACATTGTCACAGCTCCTTCGCTGCTCCTTATAAAGCTGGTAGAATGAAATACACAAAAAATGAAAGCACACATAAGCTCTGAGCATTCTTGATTTTTAAAAACAGTTGGGATGGGACTATACGCTACCGCTCAAAAGGTTTGGGGTCAGTGCGATTTTATAGGTTACTTTTTAGCAATACTCTTATTCAGCAAGGATCCATTAAATTGATCAAAAGTGACAGTAAATACATTTATGTTATAAAAGATTTATATTTAAAATAAACGCTGTTCTTCTGAACTTTATATTCATCAAAGAATCCTAAAAAAGTGTATCACCGTTTCCACAAAAATATTAAGCAGCACAGTTTCTTGAGCACCAAATCAGCATATTAGAATGATTTCTGAAGGATCATATGACACTGATGACTGGAGTAATGATGCTGAAAATTCAGCTTTGCCATCACAGGAATAGATTACAGTTTAAAATATATTACAATTAGAAAACAATTATTTTAAAAAATTGTAATATTTCACAATAACATTACCGTTTTTACTGCATTTTTGATCAAATAAATGCAGCCTTGTTGAGCTTACGACACTTCTCTCTCTCAAAAAAAAAGACAAATCTTACCGACCCCAATCTTTTGAATGGTAGAGTATATGAATTCTAATCTTAGAGAGAAAAAATGGCACTCACCTCTCGTTTATTCTTGAGCGTACTCTCCAGATCCTGGCTGGTACTGGATGGAGCTGGTGTTCGGAAGGTATGTACTTTCATTTGCCGCTTTCGCTCCTCTGAAGCAAGAGCTAATACATACATGATACACAACAATATGATGCTCATCATTTCATATTTTGCACATTTACTCAAAGAACATTTGGAAAAGTAACCAGTACAAGTCAGCGGACAACGACAGTACCTTGCTCTACACTGCTGCTTTTGACGGGGACTTGGGGAAGCTGTCTGACCTTGCGTGTCGAAGAAGGGGTGGCTGTTGATGAGGAGAATGCAGGGCTGGTGTGCGGCTGCACCCTGATGGAGGAGACAAAATGAGAGAGAGAGAAAGAAACAAAAAGAGCGATGGAAACTTTAGCTTATGATTTTATTTAGTACAAAGGTGGTCAATATCATCAACCAGTGTGGACCAAAATGCAGCAAGAAGTAGTACACATTTTCACTAAAAGGCCACCAAATCTTGATCGGACCAATGTCTGCATGATCGGGGCACATTATTACTCACATCAGATTATGTATTATTGCTAAGAGCCATTAGGAAAGCAAAACAAGTACAAGAGTGGAGGGTGTGAAACCGATGGAAAAAAACAGTGGTAAACTGTGAAAGAGCGGCAAACACAGAAAGCTGTGGGTAGATAATGAGGACAGGTGGATTTTCAGTAAGAAAAGCGGCAACCACACAAAACATTTGAGAGAAAAGAGCAAAATCAGCAGAGATTATAGCAATGACAAGGCTTTTTGTGTAGGATAGGTTAGGCACAGCAAGGCTTCTCAGTCCAGATCAGGGCCAGCACCTTTCCATTTGGGGTGAGCCTGGGGTTGACTGCCTCACGGGTCACCTTACCCAATGGAGGCAGCGATACCCTCTTCCTGCGTGAGGCCTTTAGAATGGAGGTTGGCTGAATGCTGCAGGCCAGTGCGAATAGCAATACAAGACAGATTATAGGAAAAATAAAATCAATGTGACAAATCATAGAAATAAAAATGGAGAAAAATCAACAAAATATTTGCAAAAACAGATGGAGAAATAAAGTGTGAATGTGTGAAGAAACATATATGTTGTGGATGAAGCCAGTGCAGCATTTCCCTGTAAAAGTTCAATAACCCATATAAAAATATATACACAATGTAGAATACAGTATAATATACTAAAACATACAGTATATAACAAGGTTCAAATTTAAGATTTGCCATAACTACTAATGATGGGTGATTTGAGAAAATGTACTGGCCATTAAATTTTCTTCCCAGCCACTAATTATTTGTATAAAAAATAATAATTATGATGAATTAGTCTCCATCACTAAATAAAAAAAAAAAATATATATATTGTCATTTATGATGAATTAGTCTCCATCACTAAATAAAAAAAAAAAATATATATATTGTCATTTATGATGAATTAGTCTCCATCACTAAATAAAAAAAAAAAATATATATATTGTCATTTATGATGAATTAGTCTCCATCACTAAATAAAAAAAATCGTTATTATATATATTATGATTTTAATATCACTGTTTTCTAATTTTAATTGAAACATTTTGGTTATTTTTCACAAATGGTGAGAAACTGGTGAGAAACTCTTAAAACTATTAAACCAATTTATTTACTGATGAAAGTAAATAAATGCTTTGGCAGTGTTTTAATTTTGGGACCTTGTATAAAATATAGAAATGGTCAGGAACAATTGAACAGAATTATTAATCATTTAACAAAAAACACAGTACAGTGTGAAATAAGGGATTTGTGTCTAAAACAGGTATTGTATGGACACACAGGACTTAAAGTACCATCAACAGGCAATGCAAATGTGACGGGACATGACATGGTTTGATAAGTCTTACCGCTCACTGTCAGACATTTTCTTGCCAAGTTTCTGACAGCTAGTCTTGTCCAGAGTTCTCAACTGCCTGCAAGATGGAAATGATTGAGGCGAGACAGAAAATAAAAGAATGAGGAGTGGATTCACTCAGGACTGGACGGACATTGAATGAAACTTCTATCTAATAAAATACCACGATGGAGATGGACATGCTACTGGTCCAATGCGTGTGTACCTCTGTGCATCTGGCTTTGCACTGAGGTGGTGTACTGTCTCCTGAGCGGGGAACATAGCCTCCAGAACCCAGCTGATTCATAAGATCACATCAAACACATGTGAGTGGCATGGACACATAGACACAGACACACAATGACACAGTATGGATTGATGTTAATGAAACATAATTTCATTACGGCTGAATCATGCCACTTTGGTTAAGTGGCTAGGTAAAAAAGGAAAACATACAATAACATGTACAGTAATTAAGACATATACGAGACAATCTGTGCATGATATGAAACACAGACACTTGACTCTTATGCGTCAGGGGTCACATATGACATATGTGACGTTTATTCCCTGAAAACTTTCAAACAAAACCTCTGAAATCATTACAATTTCAGTTAAATACAGAGAAAATAAGTGAAGACACATGCAGTGCCCCCAAAATTTATTTGGACACTTAAAATGTCTGAATATCACAGCATTAAATATAAAATATAAAACTAATTTGCATCTGCAAAACAAATTATTTTACTTATTTGTGATAGGGTTTGCCTGAAAAGTAAGCTTGTGGTATTTTTACTTCAAAATAAATCTCAGTTGGTTTGATATTTTGTTATATAATTCAAATATATTCATACATTTTTAAGTGTTAACTTACTTTTTGGGGCCACTGTAAGTGAGACTGTATCTAAATGACAGTACGGAAAAAAACTGTTGTAGAAATCAGTATAAAACTGTAGAAGATAATAACAATGGAATAAATTATAATCTGCAGAAAGAGTTTAGATAAAAAGGACTAAAATACAACCTCATGAAATCCAGAGTAACACAACACACTACACTTCACACCACAAAAGCCACAAGTCACCACATTTTTAAAGCTACTGAGCTGCTGAAAATCTACAAAACACACTAGCGATCACATTGTTGAGCACTAAAATCATGGGGTCGGGTGACAACAAGCTATGGGTCAGAAGCTACAGAAGGCTGGGAGGGTTAGCTACATCCACTATCTAGTCCCATGGCAGAGGGGGGACGGACAGGTTAGAAGAGCAGAGAGGTTTAGCAAAAGGACTGGAGGACAGGAGGGATACCTGTCGTCTTCTGGGGAGGCATGCTGAATTAGGATCCTGGGGCTCGTGGGTCTGGTACGGGGCAGAGACTGGGGGCTCCTGCGTGAGTGTGTGCGTGTATGATCCACAAACACCCAAAGAGTTCAAAGTGGAGATGGAAGAAACACGGGAGGTCAATATAGAGACTGTGGCAATGATCATCTCAAACATACAAGAAGATGCACAGATTCAGGGGACTCATTTTTGACAATTCTCCACCTACAGTGGTTGGATTAATGCTCCCAAAAACGCAAAACAGAGCTATCAGGCCATAAGAGTCATTGGACGCTAACAGAGCAGTGCAAAGTGGGTGACCCAATGGTGGTATGTTACTTTGACATTAACATTAACATAGACACACTGGGTTTTATTCACTAATAATTGCATATACAGTAAGTGTTCTAATTTGACAGTATGTGCTCAGAAAAAAGTTCTCATGGTAAATTTGACATATTTACAAAAAAATTATTCCGAGTCTAGATTATTCTAAACGAGGGAGAATATGCTAGCATTTAGCATTAGCATAATTTGAATAATAAGAATAATTAAATAATCAAAGAATCCTGAAAAAAAAACCATCACAGTTTCCACAAAAATATTAAGCAGCTCAACTGTTTCCAACATTACTCCAAGACTTGAGTAACGACTAACGACTGCTGAAAATTCAGCTTTGCCATCATAGGAATAAATTACATTTTAGAAAACAGTTATATTATTTCACAATATTACTGCATCTGTTGTATTTTTAATCAAATAAATGCAGCTTTTGTGAGCTTAAGAGACTTCTTTCAAAAACATAATAAACCCTAACAACCCCAAACTTTTTAAATGTATAATTTATATAAACAATAAAATTAGCAAATTTCATGTTTTAATGCAACAAGGATTTGTATGTGTGTTTTAGTTTGATCTCAAATTTTATCCTAGATTAAAAAAAATTCAGATTTCTGTGTTTGCACACTGGTTTTAAGCAAAATATATTGTGTATGTGTGTTGTGTATGTGTATACACAATAGTAAATAAGACCCAGTGATTGTTGTGTTCAAAGGGCATCACAAAGGAACATTCTAAGAGTGTCCTTTAATGTATGTGAATGATATTAATGGCAAATTCAACAAAACTGAAATAATCCAATTCAAAATAAAGAGTGTACCTGTCTCGTTCAGGTGAATTGGAATTAGAACCTGGTCTCAGACAGTTGGTACTAGCACTTCTAACCCTGTCAAGCGAGGGCTGTAGATCACTAGGGTCACAACATGCCATCCAATGGAGAAAGAAGAAGGAAAAAGGAGGAAAGGAAGATGACAAAGAACAAAAAAGTTAGGTCCAAAATAAAATAAAAAGCAAACCTGTAAGAGCTGCTAAAATGGTGAGCGAGATAATGGTTGAATTTTCTGCTAATGTTCTGAACGAGGAGCTGCTGGATGTTTATATGTATATATATGGGTTTAGGGTTTACATGTTCGACCCCTTACCTAATGGTGATCTTGTCTGTGAACCTAAGAACTCGGCGTGTGACTGTACGTTGAGTGCCAGTGACTACAGACAGCCGTGACTTTGACTTAAGGCATGCAGGAAGTGTTGAGCTGAACACAAACCAAGGCCAAACAAGTGTAAACAAAAGTAAACACAAGTTACAGAAATAGAAAACATACTGAAAGACAAAAAAAAACACATTATAAAATTTAATCACATGACCATGCTTTCTGTGGAGACTTGTTGGATGTTTAACACTGTGGTCCAACCTTGGGAAAGGGAATGCTAAAGGATAGTTTTCTCCAGGAATTATGGACCTACTTGGTTTGGACAGACAAATAGCTTGTTGCTGGAAACACGTCCCATTGCGCCTGGTTAGGACATGGCAAAAGATGTTTATAGCTACCAGTGATTTACTGTCTAACTCTTCAAATAAATTATATCTTTTAAATTACAGGTGCTACTATAAACATCCACAGAAACCAGAGCACCACAGTCAGATTCACATTCACACAGCACTCACATTTACTTACCATCTTAACACCTAACAGTGGCAGATTCCCATAGGATTGTCTTTATTTCAATTTCCAGCTGAATGACTACAATACTATACTATGTGTTTTTATGGACCCTTGTGAAAAAGTACACTTTAGCATATTTATAAAAAGAGCACTTGTGCCAGAAATAATTTTCTTTAAAAAGAATATACTTAAGTGTGAACTGAATGTGTTTTCATACACTTAATTGCATGTTAATTGCAATTCAATGAAAATTATGTTATTGAGTTACGGTTTAAATTTATATTACATGCAATTAGCCAAACTTTAGAGTGCTTATTTAACCCACTTAAATAAGACTGAAATACATTATATGCAATTTCATAAGTACTTCTACTGTCTTTGAAATATGAATGAGTAAATACTGTGTCAGACTTTGACAATGATAAAAATATATATATTCACCAGCATACTGTATATTGCATTAGCTAATCCATAATAAAAGTGCTCTGGAGATCTGAGTGAGTTTGAGCGTCACAGATGCTATAAAATCCTCATTAGTCAGAAAGGATGCCATGGCTTAAGTGTTCATTTTTGGCCGCCTTACCTGTAAATATCCTTATGAATTCCATTGACTAATAAAGGCATTTTGGGAGGCAAAGTGCTACTGTGCTTAGATGAACTCCTGCCAACATTACATTAACATGCAAGCATGCAAAATGGAAACAAAAGATGTATCAAAATCACAGCTGTGGTTAGTCCACTCAAACAGCAAAGGAATGTCAAAGGTCACTCATGCAAACATGCAAAGAACAGTCCAGAGGCAACTCCCTCATTCTAGATCATCTTTTTTTTCCTGTCAAACACGCTCGTAATTTAATCGAGGTCAGTAACGAACGGTATAAAAATAAACATGTCAAAATGACACTTGAGCAGAATGAGATTGTTATTTTGAGAAAGCAAGCGGTTGTCATGACGACGTATGTCTTTTAGGCTATACGCCAAAAGCTAGAAGAAAGTTCCGCTTGTAATGTTTCTTGTCAACGAGCTGCTCTGAAATATTAGAGTGGAGAGGCGAAGAGCTTGACAAGAAGTGTTTGGGGAGAGAAACTGGCATCAACACTCAACGCTGTTTTAATTAAATGGAATAAACTTCAGGCTATGCGAACGATACAGATACAAGGAGTCTTTTCAAAACGAAAATGATATTACCAGTGCTTATGAGACCAAGATTATTATTACATTGATTTACACAGTAATCTGAATATAACAATGGTATAATTCACAGACTGGTGGTTCAATTCTGGCCTTTTCTTTACCTTTGGGTGTGCAGACACTCTGCGCTTCTACCCCGCACTGATCTGTGTATCAAGATGACCTCACTGCAATTACCATGGAGATGGAGGACACATAAGAAAATTAACAAAACAAAACAAAAAACAAGCAAACATAAAAGAAAGAATGCGCACCAGTAAGTGAGTTAGAAGAGGAAGGGTAACAACCTTTAAAGCCAGAACAATACACAAAGGTTAAAAAGACGTGTCTTCCTGTACGATCATCTCTGTCCATTCAAACCCTTCAGTGATGCTCAATCCTTTCAAAAACAAACCTTCCATGAATCACTGGTGGTTTGGCTCTAACCCACCTTCTGAAAATGGTGTAAGGCCTTTGTAGGTTAGTAAGTCTCGAAAACGTAATTTCTCTTTCCAAAAACTCATTTTAAAGGCATTCCAGAAACAGTACTTTTATGGAAGAAAATGAAGGCACATGGAAGTGATTATTCTTTTAGCACACACTAAGGCACACTTGTTCACACTTGCTTGGGCCCACAAATTTCTATTTACCTGTCATCTACGTATTCTCTCTCTTGCACACGGGCACGGTCGTGGTTGCGTGTTGGGGAACGGGATCGCCGGCTGTGCTGGACCTCATCCAGACTCCTAAGAGAGAAAACAGGGTTTAACGCAGGTTACAATTATTTGATAAATGATAAATCCTAAAAATAGCTAGGGACATACACTCTTAAAAAATAAAGGTGCTTCAAAAGGTTCTTCACAGCGATGCCATAGAAGAACCATTTTTGGTTCCAAAAAGAACCATTCAGTCAAAGGTTCTTTAAAGAACCATTTCTTTCTTAACTTTTTATAATCTGAAGAACCTTCTTTCGCCACAAAGAACCTTTTGTGAAACAGAAAGGTTCTTCAGATGTTAAAGGTTCTTTATGGAACCATTTAGACAAAAAGGTTCTTCTATGGCATCGTGAAGCACCTTTATTTTTAAGAGTGTACCTCTGTGCAGGGACGTTGGCTGGGCGGGACCGTCCCCTGCTCTCTTCATCTCTGTGTGGGGACACGGACCGTGAGCGATACGGAGTTGGCCTCTGCTGATCTGGAACCTCTAATGTTGTCGCCCGGTCTCGGCCTCTGTCTCTGTCTCGGTCCCGTTCTCTTTCTCTTTCTCTTGATCGGTTTTCTGTAGCTGTGATGACACAAAGACAAAAAAAAAAAGTAAAAATTTTTTTTAGAAAAGCCTGTCTGGAAAATTCTGATTTTGCTTTTTGCAGTCATTGGTCTTGGCAAATCACATTCCCCACGTTAGAACCCATCCAAAAAATAAAAGAATTGACATAATGTGTTAGACCATTTTTAACAAAACATGCCAGACAATTAAAATACCTTGTTCATTCTCCTTATATCTATTTTTGAACGATGTGTGCTTTTAACAGTGGGAATCTCCATTTGAGTCCTACAGATATATATGTACACACACTACTAGTCAAATCGAAAATTAAAAATATATTTATTTATTTTTCTATTTTTGGTTACTTAAAAAAAAAATTATACAATGACATTTTTTAGGTATTTTTTACAACAAAGCGGAACATAACAGACCAATATTGGCTTAGTGACAAAAAATTTATTCAATATTTTAAAAAAAATGTACTTCCTCATTAAATAGCAAAGCAATGAAAACTGAAAGAATATATGGAGTTTTTTTTCTTTTTTCAACAGAAATAGTTTTTCACACCAGTTTTTCCAATAAAACGACAGAATATAACTTCACTGCTAAAATCATACTAATAATATTTAGATTTTTTTTAAATCAAAATGAATAATTAAAAAAACTGTAAATGTAACATTTTAAAAAATTCAAAGGTGGCCATGAGAAGAAAAAAAAACACTGCCCTATAAGACCATATCCACTATTTTTACAATCACAGTATGCTTATGTGGTTTGGAGAATGAAGTCAAGGTATGTCACAAAGGCATTGTACCACAAAGACGTGTCATTTTCTAACTTCTAACATGCAGAGGCAAATTAAAATGTGTAGCACCACCGAGAGGAAGCAGTCCTCCTGTTTACTAATTCGTTTTCCTCATTTTCCCACTGTGATCATGCATATGTGATAGAGTGCATAATGCTGCAAGTCTAAACTACTAACTATACTACAGAGAAAAGCACTGGAGACAGAACACAATTTAGATAGTTAGTGTCTCCCCCAAATAGAAGAAGCACCACTTCATATTCATTTTATGCACTTAATAGTACCAGAATAGTTAGTTTATTAGTATGGGATGAATGAAACATGCCAGCTGTGTAATGATGGTGATCGGTGAATTGTCTCCAGCACAACAGCGGTGACTTCCAAAGGAAGGGAAGGCCTGCCATTGGTTGCTTCTCTCTTTTGGGGTACTCTAATGCACAAAGTACAGAGAAGTGCCAAGGTTGGCATTGCCTTGGCCCCTCCCACCCACCTGTGGCGACTATGCCAATACCATCATCATAATCAGTTTCTGTAATACGCTGCGAGCCTGCACAGACAGATATACACACAGGGATAGATGTACAGACAGACGCGGAGATACAGACGCAAACAAATGCACACAAAGCACTGTTGGAATAATCCATAGTTAGGCAAGCAAAGGTATACAGAAATAACCTAGCATACTAAAATATGTCTTGTGGACACACTGTACCCATGGGCCACACTCCTACACACTAACTCACAGGCAGCACGGTTCAAAAACATACCTCCTCATGAACGTACAGACATGAAAAACTCGAGACAATGGCAAAAATATTGATACTGGATGAATTTCAGGACCTTGACCTAAAAGATATGTTGATGTTTAACTAATGTTTGATGATTGTCTTTCACCTACTTATATATAGTTCAGTAATTGTGAAATTATGATCATTTGTCTGACTTGATTTTACATTTTAGAAAGTGAAGGCAAAATTTTAATCGAACTGCCCACGTCCTCTTCAGCTTATGGTAAATCTTGTGAAACACTGAGGGGGCGAATTCACTAAACGATTGTGCCACACAACTGAGCAGCATTTCAATGCAAAACTCTGCATCTTATTCATATACCGCTCACATTTAAGCAAAATGTACACTACTGTTCAAACGTTTGGGATCAGTAAGATTTTTTTTTTTCTTAATGAATACTTTTATTTATCAAGCATTTTTCTATTCATCAAAGAATCCTAAAAAATGTATCCAGGTTTCCACAAAATTTCAACATTGTTTTTAACTTTGATAATAATAAGAAATGTTTCTTGAGCACCAAATCTGTATATTAGAATGATTTCTGAAGGATCATATGGCCCTGGAGAGTGGAGACTGGAGTACTGACTGCTGAAAATTCAGCTTTGCCAACACTTAAATAAACTACATTTTAAAATACATTAAAATTGAAAATAGCAATTTTAAATTGTAATAATATTGCACAATATTACTTTTTTTTACTTTATTTTTGATAAGAAAAATGCAGCCTTTGTGGGCATAAAAGATTTCTTTCAAAAACACCCCAAATTTTTGAATAATACTGTATATAGCTTATACAGTGCTGCACTATGCATATTTAAATTTAGCCACCTACTTTCTATGCAGATGAGGCTAATTAACTATTACCGCCCATGAACAATTGATGGTACAAAAATGAGTGTACATTTCCTATTTGATCACGGTGGCCGTAATTTATCAAATTATGATCAAGGGGTGATGGAAGAGTATGGTGGTCGAGAGAGCTCAGCGCGCTGCGAATGAAAAAAACACATGCAAATAGAAAAAACATCAGCAAATTAAAAAAAACATCTTCATCGGTTTGACAACACATACGCTGCAAAGACTCACAACACAAACCAAATACAGAAAAGCGATGCAAATGGCACAGACCACAACGTAAATGTTTCAAGGGGACCCCAACAACCCTTACGAAAATTAACCATGGTTTTATTATAGTAAAAGTGTAGTAATGATGTTTTTGGCATTTACAATTTTACCATTACATTTGTGTAACAACACAAATACCATGGTTAAACTGTGGTTAGTGTAATTTGTGATTACCATGGTTTAACTATAGAAACCATGTTTTTTTAAATAGTAAAACCATTCGTAAGGGAAGTTGTAAAAGTAAGTTAGCTAGCTTACATAACGTTTCACAGTTACAGTAGGCTAATTGTATATTTCTTCAGCTTATTTAGGCTAATAATATAGATCCTAGGGTATCATATAATCAGGATGTTAAAACAAATAAAAATCTCACCTTTCAGAGTAGACACTGAAGAGTGTCCCAGCCAGGTTCGTCACTTGTTGTGGTTCCCTTATACTTTTCCGATGTGGTCTGTGCATATTTGCTGCACGTTTCTGTATTTGCTGCTCGTTTCTGTATTTGATTGTGTTGCAAGTTTTTGCAGTGAGTTTCTTTATTTGATCGTGTTGTGAGTATTTGCAGCGCATGTGTTGTCAAACTGATGAAGATGCTTTCTTAAATTGCTGGTGTTTTTTCTATTTGCATGTGTTTTTTTTTCATTTGCAGCGTGCTGAGCTCTCTCGGCCACCGTAGACGAGTGTTATAATTGGACACATATCCAGTTATCAGGTGCTGATAGCTCGCAGCGCTTGCAAATAAACAGCAGGATTGACAGATGAAATTAAAATCATTCTTACTAAATTCCTCCCTATGAGAGAAAATGCACTTAAACACAAAGTGATTCTGTGTGTTCAACCTTTTCAGATCACATCCCCACCAGTGAGGCCTTCCACTTACGCTGCAGCTTTTTGGTGGGTGTTTCAGTGTGTCCGTGTCTGCGGGGCAGGTATGGCGACGGGTGTGGCAGTGGGATGGAAGAGACGTCATGTGTCTGCAGCTTGTACCAGTGAGGCTTATCATCCAACAGGGCAGTCTCCAGCTCGATTAGGATCTAGGTTTAAAGACAGGAGAAACCGCAGACAATCAGGTGTGATACTGTACGAATGTTTTCACAGAGCAATTCATGTTGTGAATAAATGGACAAAGTTTACATATGCTTCATACTTCTCCCAGAAAGTCACTCTCCTCATCTTGTATTCTGGGTTGGTCCCACACAGTAATCTCCAGCATGTGTTCTCTGAAATCCCGGCGATGGACATGAGAGTACACAAATGTCTGGTTCCACTTGGGCTCCAGACTTTTCTTCACTGTCTTCGTCCTTCTCTTGCTCTTATCACTAAAGTAAAACAAATATACACATAAAACATTACAACGAGAACATTAAAACTTGATGCACATATAAGCAATGATCAGAAACAAAAAAAAATCATACATTTATTGGAAAATTTGTTTGATCTACACTATCGTTCAAAAGTTGCAGGTCAGTAAGATTTTTTAAAATGGTTTTCTTTAAAAAGATTTTTTTAAATATATACTGTGTATATATTTTTAAAGAAGTCTCACCAATGAAGCATTTATTTGATCAGATACACAGTAAAAACAGTAATATACTGAAATATTATTGCAATGCAAAATATAAATTGCTAAAAATATATCTTGCTATTTAAACATTTTAAAATGTGATTTTTTTTTCACATATGATGGTGAAGCTGAATTTTCAGTAGTCCTTACTCCAGTGTCACATGATCCTTAATAAATCATTCTACACTCTGATTTTATGCTCAAGAAACACTTCTTATTATATTATTAAAGTAAGCACTTGTGCAGCTTCGAAACTGTGATACATTTTTTCAGGATTTTTTTGATGAATAGAAAGTTCAAAAGAACAGCATTTATTTGATCAATTTAATGCAATTTAAATCAATTTAATCCTTGCTGAATAAAAGCATTAATTTCTTTTAAAAAATCTTACTGATCACAAACTTTTGAACGGTAGTGTATAGGTTTGTCACAATAAAAAAATGTCTGACAATACTGAATTTCTTGACACTAAAACTGACACCACAGGAAAAATCTAACATACCTTCTATCAGGCAGGAAGTACATTTTGACATAGGGGTTTCTGGGTCGTCCACCCGATCTGGGTGGCAGGTCTATAGCCTGCAATACGTTCACTATCAGCTGATGGTCGACCTTATCGTTCCACATTTTCACCTGCAAGACATAAATACATAAACAGCTAATAAACAAAGACTCTAAGCACAACATTGTGAATGTACATACTTCGGTATGTACTGACCGACAGCTGTCCAGGCAGTAGCTGAGGGGCATCTCTAAGACCACTTGGGCTGGAAGGGGACAAGACAGATATAGAGGGTCTTTCCATCTTCTGTGATTCGAAGGAACTTGAACCTGCTGCAGAGGGACAAGAACAAACAAGTGTTGAAAACATCAGAGTAATGTTTGCATATAAAAAAAAAGTATTTAAGAGTTCACATTTGATTCATGATTCATTTGATTCAGTACATACTAGATTCTAACGGAGGGTGTGATGTTTCTGGTATTCGTGGTGTATCACTGAAACAAAACGATCACAAATCCATACATTACTATTCAAAAGTCTGGGTCGTAAGATGTTTATAAAAGAAGTCTCTTATGCTCATTAAGGCTGCATTTATTTACATAAAATACAGTAAAAAGTAATGATATGTGACCCTGTCTGTGAAATCCAGGCTAAAGTCTCAAAATCTAATTATGAGATAACAAGCATCAAAGTTTGATTTCAACCATTAATTTCACTATGTTTCAATCTTTGACATGGCCTTACTCCGTCAATATTAAAGATATAAAGGTTATATTTTCACAGAATGTTTTACATCTTTATGAAGGATGATTTTATGTAGAAAACAGTAAATCAGGAAAAAAAATGACTTTAGCTGGGTTTTCACAGGCAGGGTCACATATCATAAATATTATATATTTGAAAATAACTGTTTCTATTTTTACATGTTTTAAAAGGTAATTTATTCCTTTGATGGAAAAGTTACATTTTCAGCAGCTATTACTCCAGTTATCAGTGTCACATTATTCTGCAGAAATCATTGTAATACTGATTTAGTGCTCAAGAAATATTTCGTAGTATTATTCATGTTGAAAACAGATCTGCTGCTTAATATTTTCTGTGGGAACCATTATGCACTTTTTTTCAGGATTCTTTGAAGAATATAAAGTTCAAAAGAACAGCATTTATTTGAAATAGTATTAGTATTTAGTAGAATTTGTAATATTTTACCGTCTCGGTTACGTATGGTAACCCTCGTTCCCTGAAGGAGGGAACGGAGACGTCACGTCGGATGACCGACGAAATTGGGATCTCGCTTAGAGAGACCAATCTACTTCGAGTGTAAACTAAACGCGTTATATCCACTTTTGATCAATTTAATGTATCCTTGCTGAATAAAAGTATTAATTTCTTTTTCAAAAAAATTTTTTTTTAACTGACTCTAAACTTTTGAATGGTAGTGTATTTAGGCATTTAAGCCACATTTAATGTTTGAATATTTTTGTATTATATAACAAAATATCATATATAGTGTCATTTATTTTGATGAAATATAGCACAAACATGCATTTGAAGTTTGTTAGGTACTAAATGATAAAATGTTAGATAAATTGCTCAAAATATATTTTTGACGAGTTTGTTTTCAGAAAAGCTCCAGCATCATTTGTTTAGCAAACATTTTAAGTGCAATTTAGGTGTCCAAATATTCTGTATACACTGTATACAAACATCATCAGCCAGAGGTTACAGAATTAAGGTGTGCATCACAAGCTCTTTATAAGGGCTTTAGGGACATGAGACATCAAAATGATGAGAGAATTCAGAGATGAGGTCCAAAAAAAATCACATCATCTCCTAGACTGTGTTTTACTTGCAGCTAAGATTTATACACACTTTGCAAGTGTTTGGAGAAAAATCAATGAATGAAACTTTTTAAAGAGGTGGGAGGACAGAGCAATGAGTATAATGGCTTACAGTGAAAACACAATACAGACAAAGTTAAACATCTATTGCACAGCTATTCAACTCCACTCCAAACACTCGTTTAAAGGGTTAGTTCACCCAAAAAAAAAAATTCAGTCATTAATTACTCACCCTCATGTCGTTTCAAACCCGTAAGACCTTCGTTCATCTTCGAAACACAAATTAAGATATTTTTGATGGAATCTGCAGAGCTGTCTGACCCTGAACCTCGTAGCTTCGTATAATTGCAGATGAACCACTGATGTCACATGGATTATTTTACAGATCTCCTTGCTACGTCTCTGGACTTTTCAACAACATTTCAGTTGTGTTGCTGTCTATGCAGGGTCAGACAGCTCTCAGATTCCATCAAAAATATCTTCATTTGTGTTCCGAAGATGAACGAAGGTCTTATGGGTTTGAAACGACATGAGGGTGAGTAATTAATGACAGAATTTTCATTTTTGGGTGAACTAACCCTTTAATAATTGGCCCAACTAGAATAAATTCTTAAAGGGGTCATGAAATGGAGAATCAAAATGTTCTTGATATTTGGACATATAAGAGGTTACTTTACAATAAAACAAATTCAATTTTCAAAACTAATTCCCCATTTTAAAATATGATTTTTTTTTACCCCTCTAAAACAGCAGGGTTTGAAATCGGGACAATCGTGATGTCACATCATGATACTGCTGTTAGGTAAAGAAAGACCTTTTTGATGCAAAAAGCTTTGCAAACTTTATAAACTAACCTCAAGAAACAGAATATAAAAATAGAAGTAACCAATTGTATCTAAATTACGATTGTTTTTGATGACAAAACCATACTAAGATTATAAGCGCACCGCAAGAAACTTTATAAAATAACTTACAAAATGCATTTAATAACCCCTTTAAAAATAGTTTGAGTGCTTTGCCGTTAGTCAGATACCCATTAAGGTGTGTGATGGACGACTTACCCTATTGGCCTTGATACTACTAATTCAACTTGTGGTTCTGTTTGGGAATTCAAGATGATATTGTAAACTTCTTTCTTGGTTAATCCTGGTAATGATTTACCATTCCACTGAAGCACCTCATCACCTACAAACAGCCAAAATGTGTTGTCACACTAAATTCCACCATTAATTTCTTAAAATAGATATTTTACTGATTAAACATTTTCAAAATATCTGAGGACTAAATGCATTATTAAATTCAATTAAGTTAAGACTGTCAATTAAGTGTGCAGTAGCAGTAGTAATTTAAGAAGTAATTTAAGCTTGAAATATAACCATGTTTTCAAAACAGAATGCAGACAATATGCAAACAATACACTGACTTCTAAACTTTTGTGGTCTATGTTTACTCATTTGTCACAATAATGAATCATCTTCATTTGCGGTCTTTTCTTTACAAATACTGGTATATGCCAGTGGTTCTCAATCTGACTCCAAGGCCCCCCATTGCCCACAACATTATTCAAGGGCTCCTAGTTTCTGTACAGAAGAAAATAACTTTCAGGTTTTTCACTCTTTTTAAACAATGCTTTTTCATGACTCTTCCAGTCGTTTGCGATTTCCTGGATAAGGATTTTTACAAATATTTTTACTCACAATTTCTACCTGATCAAATATTTTAGAGCTTGGCAGATGTGCACAATGTATATTATTTATAAAAAAATATCCAAGGCGTTTTAAGATTTTATTAATTTACATGACTGAATTTAAATCAGTTTTAAAATTCTCATATATCCAGATTTTCCAAGACTTTCAAAGAAAACAAAGAGATGTTAAAGGGTTAGTTCACCCAAAAATGAAATTAGGCTGCGTTTTACTCACCCCCGAGGCATCCTAAGTGTATATGACTTTCTTCTTTTAGACGAATCCAGTCGGAGCTATATTAAAAATTGTCTTTGATCTTTTAAGCTGTTTAATGCCACTCAGCGGGTGTTGCATTGCTTCAGTCCAAAAGTTCAATAAAAATCGCCCATCCATAAAAAAAAGTGTCTCACACGGCTCCGGGGGGTGAACAAAGGCCTTCTGTAGCGAATAGATGCGTTTTTGTAAGAAAAATATCCATATTCAAAATGTAATAATCACTTGAATCCAGCTCGTCTGAAAGAAGAAAGTCATATACACCTAGGATGACTTGAG